GTCGCCGGGTCACAGCCGGTCTTTACCGGCTATCTCCCGGCGATCGGCGGCAATCAGTGACAGAGAGCACAGCTGCAGTAGCTGTGCTTTCTGTCACTTCCCTGACAGCTCGAGGACAAGCTGATCAGGACAGAAGAGTTTCACTCTCCCGATCAGCCGTGTCTCCTGCAGTACACACCCCCGCCCCCTAGTAAAACACTCCCCTCACACAGATAACCCTTCCCTGCAAAATAAACTTAACCCCTTCCTCCCCAGTGCCATTAGTACAGTGTCAGTGTTTTTATTTTTGCACTGATCACTGTATTGGTGTCTCTGGGGATGTCAGTGACCCCAAGTCAGTACCCCCCCAGTGTCAGAATGTCCGCCGCAGTTCCGCAGTCCAGCCATAAGTCCCTGATCGCCGCCATAAGTCGCTGATCGCCGCCATTATTAGTATAAAAAAAAACTAAAAATCACAGTATCTTTCCCGCCATTTGTAAACGCTATAACTTTCACGTAAACCAATTAATTTACACGTATTGGGTTTTTTTTTTTTAGCAAAGATATGTCGCAGAATGCATTTTGGCAGAAATTTATGACTAAATTTTGATTTTAAAATTTTTTTTTTTACTGGACATGTTTTTTTTTTTAGCAAAAAGTCCAAAATATTGTTTTTTTTTTTCCTCAAAATTGTCAGACTTTTTTTTTATAGCGCAAAAAATAAAAACCGCACAGGCGATCAAATACCACCGAAAGAGAGCTCAATTTGTGGGAAAAAAAGGATGTAAATTTCATTTATGTACCTTATTGCATGACCGCGCAATTGTGCGTTAAACTAGCACAGCGCTGTATAGCCCAAAAATGGCGTAAATTGCAGTATCTATACCATAGTTTGTAGACGCTATAACTTTCACACAAAGCAATCAATATACACTTATTGGGATTTTTTTTTACCAAAAACATGTAGCAGAATACATTTTGGCCTAAATTTATAACCAACTTTGAGTTTACTATATATTTTTTATAGCTGAAAGAAAAAATATTGTTTTTCTTCAACATTTTTGGCCTTTTTTGTTTATAGCGTGAAAAATAAAAAGCGCACAGGTGATCAAATACCACCGAAAGAAAGCTCTATTTGTGTGAAAAAAAGGACGTAAATTTCGTTTGGGTGCAGCATTGCATGACCGCGCAATTATCAGTTGAATTAGTGCAGCGCCGAGTAGCAAAAAGAGGCCTGGTCATTAAAGGGGGTAAATCCTCTGGAGGTCAAGTGGTTAAACAAGACAGCTATTTTTCATTTCGCTTGTGTAAAGTACTCAAATCTGTCTTGATATCAGCCTGTGTTATCCTTCACACTGCAGTCAACTCATAGTGAGACAAAGAAGAGCAGCACTAGGAGCCAACTAGGCTCTTCTGCATGCACAAGTTTTGATAGAGCACGTGCAGACAGGAGGGGTGAGCAGAGTAAACAGAGTTGATTACTTTTAAGCATGTTGCTATTCCTTCATTGCCCCATCAGCAAGCTCTATCAAAGAACATGGTGTCTACAAAAACACACGAGGGCGCACACTCCTGCAATACCATGATACAAAATGTATTAATATAAAATAGTAACAAATGGATACTCACAAACCAAAATTAAAGGTAGGCATATATCAAGAGGCTTCAGTATGGGATATCTGGGTCCCTTCCTAGAACCATCTGGCTTAAAAACGGATGCGTTTCGGCTGCACTCTCTTCCTCAGAGCTGCGGAAGGGAGTGCAGTTCCCAAAACACATCAGCTTTTCAACCAGATGGTTCCAGGAAGGGATCCTGATATCCCATACTGAAGCATCTTGATATATGCCTACCTTTTATGTTTTGTTTGTGAGTATCCATTTGTTATTTTATATTATACATTTTGTATCATAGTAATGCATGAGGAGTGTGCGCCATCTTGTGTTTTTGTAGTGATTTTAAGATTCCCCGATCTGTGGAGGGTGTGCAGCCCTCAGGTGTACTGAGAGAGTGGCATACACCGTGGAATATGTGGAGCATCCTCATTTGAGCGCTGATGTGATTTTTTTTTTTTTTTTTTTCTTTCTAAAGAACGTGTCTCTCTTCTTGTTGTACTGTGTGACAAACATTACACAAGTGACTACACAGGTTTGTTTACCAAAAGCTTTTGTTGAAATCAATATACCATACAAAAAAACCATAAAACAACATTTTGTAGGCAGCACCAGATATGCTGGAATTCAAGAATGAAAATCAACAAGACAAAATATCGTCGGGACCAAGAGTTCAGAAAGTCAGAAAGTGGCAGAAAAATTCAGTCCTCACGCTGATCTCATAAGCTAACAGAGAGTGTAGCAAGAAGTGAGCTCTTGTATGAGCAGGTGACTTTGTATTCCCAAGTGTGCAATGTCTAAGTACCAGCTGGTTTTTCACCAGTTTTCCTGATGACAGTGATGGTTTTAGCATCATGCTGGTGTCAGGCCATAAAAACCCAGGTTTAGGGAGCAGTGAGTGGCCAAGAAGCAAGGTATATTAATCCGCAAGTGAGGATGGGCATCTGGGCAGGGCGTGGTTTCCATGGTCATGGCTGGACATGACTAACGAGAGCTTTGTGATATGCCTCACGCACACACACCACACCCCCACCACACCCCCCCCCACCCCCCCCCCCCCCCCCCCTAACCGATAGAGCACACAAAGTAACAGTGACACCACCAAAACCAGGTACACCTCCCATACTATTGCTCGTGTAGTTGTTAAACTGTAAGGATCAAGATTTATTCTTATGGAAGGCATGGAAAAAAGATACTATACAATATGAACAGGGTGTCTATATGCCTGGATTTTTCTTTGGCGTAACAAAAGCAACATGCATCTTCTAATAAAATTAAGTGAAAGCTTCAATATCAAGGGATTGGTTATTCAATGGAATGTCCAGCTTGTTTGAGAGTGGTGGACAGTGAAAGTGCTGTGTTTTTCAGTACTTTATAACAGGCCCAAGAATGAATACTTACATATTGGCATACACCAACAAAGTGACAGGATAAGTATACCTGGTAGAACTGAGAAGCAACTTACGGTTATTCTCAATTGCTAGGAACTAAACGCTGGACTCAGTGGATTTATAGAAAAATATGAGGTTGAGAAAGGAGTAAAATGCTTAAAATGTTAATGTCTTCTTAACCCTGCTGGAAATGTTATGGAGAGGGAAGTGTATAGTTATGCTTACGTTTTTTTTTGTTTTTTGTTTTTTTTTTTGTTTTGTTTTTTTTTGTAGGGGCTTAAGGTTTTCATTCATTTATAAACAATGCACCTTGTTTCTTTGGGGGGGAATGCTGTACACATGTTTTCACAATTAATATTGGATCTTGTATAATTCAGATAAATTATTTAAAGGTATATGTATATTGTTTACACACTTATGGGTTTTACATGAGGTTAAATAATTGCTTGTTTTCTTGATGAGGTCACATATGGTAATGACACAAACTTATATCTTTGCACTGTACAGTTGAAGGATGTATAATGACATGAATTTGTCTTTTAGCACTTTTTAAGGGAGAGTTTTACACTCACCAGCCATTTTTTTTTGTACACTTGTTCAGTTGCTTGGTATGTTATGCCAGGGCATGCCTGGATAATTAATTAGTCAGCCAAAAGTGCTTCCAAATATTAAAATAATTTGAATAATTAAGTCAGTCAAATTATTTTTCTAGAGTTAATTCTTAGCCAAACAAAATTATTTCTTAAAAACTCAAATTTGATCAGTGTAAGATGGACTGGAAATTATTAAATTACTATTTATTTACATAAGTCACATACAATGCACATAGACACCCAGATAATTTGCTTAAAAATACCAACATTTCTGAAACAAAAGATTACATATAGATACATATAAATATAGGATGAACTGGATAACTAATTTCCCCCCATAGACAAAAAAACTAATGATAACTAATTATCGGACAATAGTCTGTGTTTTACTGAATTTGAGCTGTTATTCCCGTACAGAAGGAATAGGCGTTAAACTACACAAAACTGCCAATATGCCCCCCCCCAAAAAAACATTGTTAACAAAAATAAAAAAAAATAGTTTGGGTGCTTATGTTATCCTGGGGAGAATGATTAGGTTACAAGAAAAATGGCAATAGGCTTATTAATCTAGTCCAGTAAAAAACAAAGAGAAGATATATTATAATTACCCTCCACGTATCGGGTAACCTTTTAGAAAACTGTTGATCATACCCAAAGATGGCTGACGATTATTGGGTGGAGTTAAGTTCTCACAAAATGGCATCAAACAGGCTGGAGTTGTGTGTCCTTGAGTGTGATCAGATGGTTGTGATGGTCAAATGGTTGTGTTGGTGTGTTCTATGGTCAGATGGATCTATTCTGTCTACCTGACTTCCTCTTCTATCTAATGGTACACAATACATTCATAAAATGTGAATAAACCTGGCCAAGAAGGTGGCACCTTCTTCCTGTTTGTGAATTTGTCTAATAACCCAGCCCATGTTTGTTTTTGCATTACCACCCTTTTGCCACTGAGTGTCACTCTGATTAGTCCTGACTATTTTGAGTTTACTTGGAAACTGAAGTAACCAATTTGTTATAGGGAAAGGTTAATATTTCACTATACCAAATGGGACCTTGTAAAAAACTGTATAAATGCCTTGTAGGGTAGATAATATTCCTAATTTATGATCATTACTTTTTTGTATACCAACATTTTAAAAGTGAAACCTTAACTGTAAAGAGTTGTAGTGTTTTATATATGTAATGATTAAAATATTAGTTATTCACATAGAGCACAAAAAAATTATATATAGAGAGAGAGATGCTGTGGGGGCACCTGACAGGATGGAGGGTCCGGGAGCGGTTTAACTACTTAATGATTATAGATGCCTACAACACACATACACTATATTGGCAATAGTATTGGGACACCCCTCCAAATCATTGGATTCAGGTGTTCCAATCACCTGCATGACCACAGGTGAATAAAGTCAAGCACCTAGGCATGCAGACTGCTTCTACAAACATTTGTGAAAGAATAGGTTGCTCGGAGGAGATCAGTGAATTCAAGCATGGTACCGTGATAGGTTGCCACCTGTGCAATAAGTCCATCTGTGAAATTTCCCTGCTACTAAATATTTCCACGGTCAACTGTTAGTGGTATTATAACAAAGTGGAAGCAACTGACATCAGCAATTCACCTACGAAGTGGTAGGCCACATAAAATGATAGCAAGGTCAGTGCATGCTCAAGCGTACAGTGCGCAAAAGTCGCCAACTGTCTGCAGAGTCATTAGCTAAAGACCTCCAAACTTCACATGGCCTTCAGATTAGCACAACAACAGTGCGTAGAGAGCTTCATGGAATGGGCTTCTATGGCCGAGCAGCTGCATCCAAGCCTTACATCATCAAGTGCAATGCAAAGCGTCAGATGCAGTGGTGTAAGGCAAGTCACCACTGGACTCTTGAGCAGTGGAGACATGTTCTCTGGAGTGATGAATCAGGCTTCTCTGGTAATCGGGTGGGCGTGTCTGGGTTTGGCGGTGGCCAGGAGAACGGTACTTGCCTGACTGCGCTGTGCCAAGTGTAAAATTTGGTCTAGGGGAGATTATGGTGTGGGTTTGTTTTTCAGGGGTTGGGCTTGGCCCCTCCTTTCCAGTGAAGGGAACACTTAAGGTGTTAGCCCACCAAGACATTTTGGACAATTTCATGCTCCCAACTTTGTGGGAACAGTTTGGGGATGGCCCCTTCCTGCTCCAACATGCTTGTGCACCAGTGCACAATGCAAGGTTCATAAAGATATGGATGAGTGAGTTTGGGGTGGAGGAACTTGACTGGCCTGCACAGAGTCCTGACCTCAACCCAATAGAAACAGCTTTGGGATTAATTAGAGTGGAGACTATGAGCCAGACCTTCTTGTCCCAACACCAGTGCCTGACCTCACAAATGATCTTCTAGAAGAATGGTCAAACATTCCCATAGACACACTCCTAAACCTTGTGGACAGCCTTCCCAGAAGAGTTGAAGCGGTTATAGCTGCAAAAGGTGGACCAACTCCACATTGAACCCTATGGACTAAGACTGGGATGCCATTAAAGTTAATGTGCGTGTAAAGGCAGGTGTCCCAATACGTTTGGCACTATAGTGTATATATGAGTTGAGCAAAAAAAAATGGAAACGCTGTACATGTGTTTCAGGTGTGAAAGTGATGACATGTTTTGCGTTGAAAGCAGAAGTGATGTAACATTATTTTGCTTCTGCTGTGTCCCTTATCTATACACAAAGATAGAATGTAATAGGTTCATGTGGAACAGGACTGGACAACAGTCCAACATTTATAGCCAAAATCCAAGGTTGCAGCATTTCTTTGTTTTTTTGTTTTTTTTTTTCCAATATGTAGTGCAGAGGTCAGGAGTAGAAGTGTTTACACACATGCAGTGAGTAAAAGTAATGCACATTGTAGCATACAGAGTGCATATATCATATATACCCTAGTGCACAGCACCGCCTATTATTATACCCCCTTTATTCACAGCACAGCAGTACCTCCCCATGAAGTATTTTGACAGCATACACACCTGCATACATGCATACAGTACCTGTACATACCTATAACAACTAATATACATACACACATCCACATGCAAACACCCACACACTTTTATACACACATACATATAACCTCTTCAAAAATCACACTTTTACTGTACCTGGCTAACCTTCCCTTTTGCCCAAGTTTACTGCAAAGCATGGTAGAGGCTAATAGGCGGAGCAAGTCGGGACTCGAGAGAGCACATACAGTACAGCCTTCCCTTCATCCTCTGACCCCTCTGTATGCTCAAGGAGACAGTGATCAGCATTGTGGATTGCATCAGGCAATTTCTAACACATTCTCTTCCTGCCCTCCTTCCACACTCCTGATGCTCAGGCTGCTTTTTAATGCAATTACCAACTTCAGGTAGGAAATCACTACTTGACTATGTTTTATGTGCCTCACTATTGGCTTGTTAATCTGTTGGTTAATTGTAAGGGGCCAGAGGCTGAACATTCACCAACTTACTTGTTGAAGTCCATTGGCAGCACAGTGGCTAAATGGTTAGCACTGGCAGTACTAGGGTCGTTGGTTCGAATCCCAGCCATGGCACCACCTGCCTGGAGTTTGCATGTTCTCCCCGTGCCTGCGTGGGTTTCCTCCGGGTACTCCGGTTTCCTCCCACACTCCAAAGCCATGCTGGTAGGTTAATTGGATCCTGTCTAAATTGGCCCTAATATGTGTATGTATGAATGTAAGTTAGGGACCTTAGATTGTACACCCCTTGAGGGTTAGGGACTGATGTGAATGTACAATATCTTTGTGTAAAGCTCTGCGTAAATTGACGGCGCTATATAAGTACCTGAAATAAATATTTACATGAAACTTTGAAAACATTCTTATATTACTTGAAAAGTAGAATCTTAATACTTCATGTAACTACAGTTTTGCTTTTGAAAGTGAGTGCATTACATTTTTCTTACACAGGGTTTTTCGAAATGAAGATGAAATATGATGAAAGTGACAATGCACTTATCAGAGCTTCACGTGCCATTACCGACAAAGTTAGTGATCTAATAGGTAAATAAATGTAATTTTATTGATTGTTGGTCTCCAAATGAGATTTTGTTATTATTTTCCTCTAGGAAATAGTAATGGGTTATTAAATGTTTTTCCACAATCATAATCAAGTATGAATAATCATCCTATGTTAGCCATAGAGGGCACAGCCTTGATATTCATAGACTCTGGATTATTCTCACCGGTTGTGTGCAAACCCTCAACATTATTGCACAAGATTCTCCTGCTCCTAAGAGACCTACAGTTTCTAAAAGGACATTCCCAATTTATCCAAAAATAGAATGGGCACTTTATGATGATCAGATTAGCCCTGAAAATATTTTCACCCCTCTGCGAATCATTGCCAATCTTTACCCAGTGGGAAAAAAAAGTTCACTTAAATGTGGACTGTGAAGGTAGTAGCCCTGCCATCACATTCTTGAAGTGATATTAACCGGTTGCCGACTAGCCAAAGTACATATACTGCGGCAGGGCGGCACCGCTGCGCAAAATCTTGTATATATACGTGATTTCGCATATCGGGTAGCGGGCGTGCGATTGTTCTACCCGTGCCGCCTATTACAGGTGTCAATCACCGGGTCCCGGCCAGTGATTACCTGACGGAGCCCCGCGATTACCGGCAAACAGTGACAGAGAGGAAGGCTGCAGTATTTACACTGCAGCTCTCCTCCCTGTCAGTTTCCAGCACACTGTTCTGTTCAGCTTTCCCGGCAGTGTGTTCCCGTGAAGCACACACCCCCATCTCACTAGTAAAACACTCCCCTCACACAGTTAACCCTTTGATTGCCTAAAAATGTTAACCCCTTCCTCCCCAGTGTCAGTGGTTTTGTTTTTTGTTTTTTTTTTGCACTGATCTGATCACTGTATTGGTGTCACTGGGGATGTCAGTGACCCCAAGTCAGTTCCCCCCCAGTGTCAGATTGTCCACCGCAGTCCCGCCATAAGTCGCTGATCGCCGCCATAAATCGCTGATCGCCGCCATTATTAGTATAAATAAAAAAATAAATTCCAGCATATATATCGCCATTTGTAAACGCTATAACTTTCACGTAAACCAATTAATTTACACACGTATTGGGATTTTTGTTAGTAGACATGTAGCAGAATATATTTTGGCCGAAATTTATGACAAAATTTGATTTTTACCTTTTTATAACTGGACATGTTTTATAGCAAAAAGTCCAAAATATTTTTTTTTTTGTCAAAATTGTCTTTTGTTTTGTTTTGTTTTTTTTATAGCGCAAACAATAAAAAACACACAGGTGATCAAATACCACCTAAAGAAAGCTCAATTTGTGGGAAAAAAAAAGATGTAAATTTAATTTGGGTGCAGCTTTGCATGAATGGACAATAATCAGTTAAAGTAATGCAGCGACGTAACACAAACTGCTTCTGTAACCACTTCCTGACCGCCTATATAGCTATCCTCCCAGATAGCATCAGATTGCCTATCGGTACACCAGTCATTACATTTAACCCCTTGATTGCCAGGAAGACTCTCATACACAAACCTTCATTGCTAGTATAGTGTCTGAACGGATCAATATCTTTGAACAGATCAGCACTATACCAGTGTTCACATTAGTATAGTGTCCCCAAAAATGCAGCATTAGCGGGATCAGCCCCGGCACCTGCCAGCACCTGCGTTTAGCCTCTACACTTAATCCCCCCTTCTCCCCCAGCAAGTGCAGTGTCAGTAGGTCACTGTCACTTGATACATTGCACACAAAACCGCAGTGTTTGCAGAATCGGGCCTGATCTCTGTTAGCCCTTGTCGGTAAATTTTGATGACTCTCATATTCAGAAGAGTGCCAGTACTAGTGCTGCGCTACCTTTTGGTGAACTTGGGAGCACCAGCGACCTAGTACATCCTGGTCTTTCAAATACCTCTTAGATTGTAAGCTCCCAGGATCAGGCCCTCCTAACCCTCTTGTATTGAACTGTATTGTTGCTGTGTTGTCTCCCATTATATTGTAAAGCACTGAGCAAACTGTTGGCGCTTTATAAATCCTGTATAATAATAATAATACCAGCACTGCAGTATGACTTGGTGGCGTGGTGAGTCCCATAAGTGTAGTACAAGCTGGTGCAGTGGCGAGCACACGTATTGACCCGCAGCCACCAAGAATTTGCACACAGGCCTGTAGAGGCCCTAGTATCCTTCCGGATGTGCTTGCAAATCCCAATTGGCAGCCCACAAATTCTGCAGAACCCGTACTTCCCCCATTCACTGCCCAACCTGGAATTCAGGTGGAAACAGCAAATTTATTTGTATTGGTCCACAGACCGGATTCGTCATATGCCCGTGTTCTCTGCTGCCATGGCCAGGCATAGATGTGAGAGTATAATGTGTTTTATGCATTCAAACGATAATGCACTCTCGTCCTCGAGTTGACCCTGAATTTGACCGGCTCCACAAAATTTGGCCGCTTGTAAATCGCCTTAACCAAAAATTTGCAGATGTCTATACTCCCCAGCAAAACATCTGTGTTGATGAGTCCCTCATTAATTTTTCTGGCCGCCTTGCATTCAAACAATTTCTCCTCAGCAAGTGTGCCAGATATGGGGTCAAGATGTAGAAGACCTGTGAGAGGACAACAGGCTATACTTATAAGTTTCGGATTTACGAGGGAAAAGATAGTCACGTGGAGCCCCCCGGATGCCCAGACTACATGGAGAGTAGTGGCAAGATAGTTTGGGATTTGGTGTCATCCTTTTTCCATATGGGGTACCACTTATATGTGGACAATTTTTATTCAAGCGTACCA